TGAGTTACCCAGTGGCCATAGTGACTTCAGGGGTTTCCTTGTTCAAGCATGAATCATCCACCAGCTGCCATCCTCTCAGAAGTAAGCCCTTTCAGCATGGACCTCCTTCAAAGAGTGCACCCATGTCTCCAGCAGCGTTCCTGAGTCACAGCACTGTGGGCTTAAATTCTGGCATGAGACAGGGTGTTTATATCAGTTTCAGTGGTAGCTGGAATTGCTCCTGGCTGGCACTGAGTAGTTCATGGTCTGCACTCAGGTCACCACTGCCATCCCCTTATACCCTCTGCAATTTGTGTTCTTTACATTCTACCCTTCACTTTAATTGAAAGATATATTAAGAATTGCTTTCACCCTTATACAAACTCCACCTTTAACATCGTCACAATCTTAACATGTATTCATTATAAACTCCATCCCTTGTCCCTGCAGACCAGTAGTTAACACCTCACCCACGTGAATGTAATATACATCATGAAACCACCCCTTCCCCAGCAGTCCTGGTCTCTCTGAAGCCTCATTTGCAGCACATGGCAAGCCCCAGCACACAGTCCCAACACAGCAGGACACTTCTCTATCCCATGTTTCATAGCCAAACCCTCTGCAGATCCCCAGCTAGTGCTTCTGGATCCTACATGTGGATCCTACAGCACTACACCAGGCCACTGGGGCCCAGGTGTGGAGGAAGCATCTGTCTATCTCTTCCCAGTCACCTTCCCACTCAGCAATGGTTCCCTCAAGGTCCCTCCTTTCTTCAGGTGTTTGCATACTGTCTGCACTCACTCCTGGACATGTGCTGGCTGTGCCACTTCCCCCAGCATGTATTGCCAGGATCAGGATCATGGCTCCTTCCACAGTCCTCATTACTCCAGTTTTGGGCCATGTCAGGGTATCACACACAATCTCCAACAGCTACTGTCCCAGGCAAAACAACCTCATCACCTCATCTCAGGGCAATCTAAGATAGTTTATTGCCAATTAACAAATCTTTATTTCACCGATTCAGTTACTGTGGGGAGGGAAGAACACAGAAGACCAAATCAGTAAATGCCTTTCTCCCCCTTCTCCAGCCTCTGCTTAAGCCAAACACCAAACCCTGTCCTCCTCTCTGCTTCCCTTGTTTTCACCATAGATTACATCCAGGCCATCCCAATCCCCCCCTGAAAGCAAGGGTGGCTTGGAGGGTGATGCCGGGTGCTTGATGCTTCCCTTCATCACTCCTGTGTCCTAGAGCTCCTGGGTGGGTGGGCTACTGGCCCCAGGGCTGCTGCTGCCCTGCCTGGCAGGGGTGACCCAGCCTGCAGGCCCCTCAACAACTTGGCCCCTTTGGGGTGAGGTGCTGCCCTCCCTCTCACCTGCCAGGGGGACTGGGGATGCACACACAGGTGCTTCCCATCTGCTGGAGCTCAGTCACACCAGATGGCAGCACCGGCTTCATAGTCATCCAGAACTGGTTCTGACCAGCCTGGGGCAGTTCATGGTTTCCTCCTGTCCAGGTTTCCCCTGAGGGGATACACCCACCTTTCCCACACAGTAACCACCACTGGTGGATGGTAGGAGCACTTGCTCATCCTTGCCTACGGTCGGGGCTTATTATTTAAGCAGGTGGGATTAAAGAACAAATACTAGTGTGAAGACAAAAAGCCTCATCAGCTCTGAGAAGATGGGAGATCCACCAAGATATGCTCCTAGATTGATCTGAGTTCAGAGTAAAAAACAAGCTGAGGTCTTTTATGGTCAGGGCTGGCCAAGCCCCTCAGATCTGCTTCCTGGCACCTGGAGATTGAACTGGAGACCCCATTGAGCAAAATAAACCTCCCATTTAAAGACTCCATTTCCCAGGGATTCAAGCTTGAAACCCACATGCTCTCACCTCCAAACCCTGGTTTAAGCTATACCTGTGTATGTTGGTACCTCTGAAGCTGCAGACCCTCACAGCTCTCTTTCTCCCTCAGGAGTAGAGATTGATTGCACCTTGCAACTCTGTCACCTCCCTACTTTGTGCTTTTTCTGCAGGCCACTGGGTCTCTGTAAAAACTACCTCCACAAGGACATACCCACTTCCATTATTTTAGGTCCTGTTCTCAGATGCCAAATACTGCTGCGTCTCCAAAGTCACAAATTGTGGTGAAATTACAGTAACTAAATGCAAAGTCAGAAAAACAAACTGAAAACTCGTGATACTGAACATCCTGTTTCAGTGCAACATCTCACACGTGCATAAACAAACAAAGAAAAAAAAAAACAAAGAAACCCAAAATAAAAAACCCAAAAAGGCAACAAAATCCCTCCTCCCCTGCACAGTTCCTCCTTGCCAGCTCAGTGTAAAGAAACAGTTGCCCATGTTATCAAGGACACAGCAGATAAGATTTAGCAGGCTGGCTGTCACACAGTGACAGTACTTCTTCCTCCCTCAAGGCCCTGCCACCATGTGATGGCCCCTGCCAGGCCCTTGGGAGAGGTAAATAGTGGAAAGCTGATTTCTTACAGCTGTGAGAGGAAAGGCTCCCACTCACAAGAGTGAACAGCAAAAACAAAATACAGAACTTCCACCTGAAGCGTCTTGTGACAAGATGGAAGCATCCCCCTGATGAAAAACCATCAAGGAAAAACAAACCTAAATAGTAAGAGATAAGCACCAAGTTGTGTACCAGGTAAAAACACATCTCATTCTGCCAGGGATGGCTGATGTGCTGACACTAAACAGGAAGAACATTAAAGAGGAAAACCAATTACCTTGCTCATTCTTAGTTAAATGGAGCAAAAAATATGAAGCTGCAGAGAGCAGGGAGAGGCACCCAGAGCAAACACTCGCACCTGAAGAAACTCTCTATATGTGAATAAGCAGCAAAGCCTTCCAGGCAAGTCTGTTTTTTTCCACTGCGCTGTGACCTCTTCAGCAGAACAGCTTATGCTTGTCTGCAAAAAAGTCAAAGCCAGTTTCTGATGTGAGGTCACTGGCCACTACCACATATGATTACAATCGTGCATTTTATTCCGAAACGTCCTCAGCACGTTCCTAAAGACAGAGGGACAATATGATCATTATGCCACTCATGAAAAGGTCACTGCTCCTCATCTGCAACTTTCAAAGCACTTTAAAAAAAGTCTTCCAAAATTAAAAATAAAGTTCTTTTTTATTAAGCTCACTATATCATAAACTACTGGAGACAGTAGCCTGGAAAAGAGGAGGCTCAGGGGAGACCTCATCACTCTCTACAACTCCTTGACAGAAGGTTGTAGCCAGGTGGGGGTTGGTCTCTTCTCCCAGGCAACTATCAGCAAGACAAGAGGGTATGGTCTTAAGCTGTGCCAGGGGAGGTTTAGGTTGGATATTAGGAAGAAATTCTTTACAGAGAGAGTAATCAGGCACTGGAATGGGCTGCCCAGGGAAGTGGTGGATTTA